GCGTGCTGCCACAGTGGCTGTGATGAACATGCGGCCGCTGATGTCCGTGCATCAGTCGGACATCTGGAAGACACTGTGTCATGGCAGACATCCATCATCTCTGATTACTACGACCTTTGTCTCTTTTCCCCATAGCCCCCCGAGCCCTGAGAACAGGAGTTGGGGTTTGGTGAAGACATCTCCTCTAGGCCCGAGAGCTCTAAGGTCTCTTGCTCTTTGAACACTATCCAATTGTGGGTGGCCATGTTAGTTCCTATCTACAGCAAGAAGAAGCTTCTCTGATGAGGGATGAGCGAGGCACTGATCTATGGGTATAGGAATTGCAATGCGTAGATTTTTAACCTGGCTTCCAGCACCAGGCACAAGGCTCATATCTAAGCCAAGAGTAGCTGGTCACCACTGTAACGGTCTGCCATCACCGTACATGTGGGCACATCTTGCCTGCCAGGTTTGTGTTGTAGTTCCTAGAGCTCATTCCTGGGTAAGACAGTTGATGCCTTTCTCCCCAGAAACCTGCGTAGCACTTTCTGAGACTTTGCAAGCTAGCCAGCAACTCGATTCTAACAGTTCTTCAGTTTCTTGCAGCCATGGCATGTGATATCATCGATAATAGGATTTTAGCATCTTGTTCTAGTGGTCAACCAGGCAGAAAAGCAAAAGCTTGTATTGTTTTGAGGGCTCTGGAATCTGTCCTGACTAACAACTCCTATGGAGATGTCCCATATCTGGCCCTGGGGCTCTTGCTTTATAGTACATTGTCTTTAGTAGCAGATTTATTTAAACATATTGGACATCCCCTTTAATATCTTGGGAATATAGCCCTTCATTTTGGTTAACTCTCCTTTCCCTATCTCCTCAGCTCCCTCACCCCCTTGAGCCCCCTTCCTGTTAAACTCATATAGAGAAAGAATTCTGTCTTAGTTTATAATTATTTTGGCCTTATATTCCAAATTCCACAAACTTTTTAAGTGCAATGCTATTGTAGACATTTTGGTTTATGCTATGTAAACAGGTTTTTGTTTTAATCACAGGTATAGGATATGGGACTAATTCAGATTATCCATAGTAGCAAAGTATTTGCCTCATGTGGGCTTTGAGAGGAGCTCTTTGTGAGCTGCAGATAGTTCAATTCTGAGGACTCTGGAGAAAGAATAAATGCCAGACCCCAGAGATTGTTGGAGATGCTCTCAGAAAGAGGAAGGCTGCTGTTGTTCCTGATTGCTATTGATGCAATTTGATGAGAAAAAGTTGGAGATCTCCTGAAATGAAGATTGGATATTCCATAAGGAACCCAATGACCATGATGAGCAGGAACTATCTAAGAAAAACTATGCCTATCCCCACTAACCTCCTTTCTCTCCTACCTGGAATTGGGGTGTTGGAAGGAATTGGGGTGAAGTAGAGAGAAAGAAGAATAAGAAACATAAATAAAGAAGTTTTAAAAGTATGCTAACAGAATGT